TGAAGAATGCTTCGACGCTAAGGAAACATGACGAAGCAGGATCTTCGAGTAGAGGATTATCTCGATCCCCTGAAAATGGGAAAGTATGAGAGGAGGCGTCAACACTTTCGACGAGCCTGTGTGACTTTGTTCCGACGTAAAAAAAAAGAGATTCGAGGCATCATCTTCTTAGAACCAATTCCAGCGGTGACACCGGTGAAGAAATGGCCACTCGCTGGTAATGTGTGCTCTCCACGTCCACTCAACATCCATGCTTTTGAGAGGGTTGTGCAATGGGCATGGGGGCTACATCGTGAGGCACGGTTCAAGGATATAGGAGGTGACATTTTCGTGGTCCAGTTCGGTAGTGAAGAAGATTGGGAACATGCTCTTGTGAACGGGCCGTGGCAATTCAGTTTCAATGTATTCGTGCTGAAAGAGTATGACCGGTGATACAAGACCATTAGAGATGGTTTTTGACACTATTGAACCATGGGTTAGGGTGATGGATTTTCCATTGGACAAGTTGTCAGGAACTTTAGAAAAGGCTCAGGACAAGTGGTTGGAAGAAGTTGTTAAGGTTGACGTGGAAAACGACGGATTTGCTAGGGGGAAGCACCTGCGTCTGCATGCAAAAATTTCGATATATGAACCCCTAGTCTATGGATTCTTTCTCAGGACATCACCGGATGATCTTGATGGACCATTGTTCGATTTCACTTATACGAGAAAAAAGCACATTTCTGTTTGTGGTAGTTTGGTGCACCATATGGGTCTTTGTGAGCCACCGGTAGACTCGTCTTTGCAATGGGGACAATCGCTTAGAGCCTCGCCGAGCAGAGGCACATCGGATGGACAATCATCAGAGGTCGACGGCATCTAGTAGCAGTTTCAGTCATGGTAGTTCAGTTACGGGCTCTAATAGAGAATCAATATATCTTTTCTCATGATGGTATGATAGTGCTATTTTATCCTCTTCTGTTGAGGAAAATATATTTGCCTGCTTGCTGCCGGTCAGCTTGACCGGTCGCAATCCCTCCACACGTCACCATCGATCCGCCGGCTGTCTTTGTGAATTGTGAGTTCCAGCTGCCATCAACTGCCTCCGGTTTGCCGAGTCGTACCCTGATGTGAACGTACGCCGCAGCACCGGGCAACCACCTTCGTCGATGGTCGCGACGCTTGTGAGAGAAATCCGTCTCCTCAAACGTCTACGGCATGTCTGCAGACACTAACCGAACACTCCTTATTTAGGTGCGTCCGCATTCGTGTATCTTAAATTCATCCTTCATATTCATGCGACACATACACGTAGGAAAATAAACCTATGTAGGTCAATGAACTAACACGAAATCTAGTTAAATCGGGGATAATTATAGCATAAACGTTCATCGGACAACCAAAATATACAGTTTCAATCGGACAGTACCCTAAACATATAATAATAAAATTAATTATACAGGGAAGGGTGGAGGTAGAATGGACGGGGTGGTAGCCGGACAATATGCCTGGAATGGGCGAAGCGGGCGGCGCTCTCATAGGTACTGCGCGCCGGACGAGACAACCCGACAATGTCGCCCGCACTGCAATGGCGGGCGAAGAGGGACGACGTGTCGCTTCGTGAGCTGCCTCCGCTATTGCCGCCTTGATCTAGACGGGAGCGGCGCAAAGCAATGCGGAGAGCCCCGCATGAAGGTCGCTCTCGTCGCTATTGAAGTCGGAGCAGCTGCGGTCGTCCGCCATGGATCGGATTGGGAAAAGGAGAGGACATATAGAGTGGAGTGGACTGAGGTCTAGGGTTCATCAAAGGGGATATATGTGGGGTCGGGTGGGCCGGGCTGACGTGGCGGACACGCCCAGGCCGCCTCATATCTGCCGCATATTTAGGCCGCATATGAGAGGCGTCGGACAGCCCAGGCGTCTGAGGACGGTTTGAGGCGCCCGGTGGATATTTTTTTGTGACCGGTCAGCCCGCCCGGGTGAATTGATTTTTCGTGACCGGTCAACCCACCCGGGCGTTTGAGACGTGTTTGAGGCTCCCGACTGTAGATGCTCTAAGCAGCAGCAATCTACAATACAATGATGATGGACGGAGAACGTCGTTCATTTGGTTTGGTTGCTGCCAGCCATGAGACGAAATTTCTGTCGTGACATTTTAGGGACCTTGTTTGCAAAAATAATAATATAATATGACTTTTTTAGTCACGCCAACATCCCGGCGTCCAGCTTACACGGGAGACGCCAGAAACCCTGGCGTCTGGCCCCTGGTTCGCACGACCCGTTGTCCTGTTGAGCCAACATGGCAAAGCGTCGAAACACCACGATCCTTGGCGTTTCCAGACCCGATGGCGCAGTAGCCGTGCGCCTTGGCGTTTCACCCTGGGGAGAGTGGGTGGGACCCCACCCCACTCACTCTCCCCAATCCAATCCCAGTTGCAAGAACACATGCTGCTCCCCCCTCTCTCCCATACCCCTCAAGCCCCCCCTCAAATCCTCTCCGAAAGGTCCTTCTCTTAGGTGGATCTTTCCATCACTTTGTTGCTTGTGGTAATCTCCCCCGAATCACCATTTTTTTGGTTTAATCTTGTTATTTTTCTAGCATTTTTTACATCTTGGAGGAACCCTAGTTCATGATTTTCTCCTAATTTTAGTGTGTTGGAATTGTTCGAATGTATTGTTTAACTTTGGTGATATAGGGATATGCATGGTGTGTGGTAGGAATTTTTGCTTCATGAGTAGAAAGATTGGGGTTAGTGTTAGTTAGTGTTTAGGGTAACCTTTGCTTAGTGTATGTTAATTCATGACACTTTTTAATTTAATGCACTGTTCTTGGACATTAGTGTTGATATGATTTGGATATAATGCATTGTTTTCGGATAGCCAATAATTGCCATTGATACTTTAAATTCATTCATCTTGTTTTTAGATGGAGAGATTTGTTAATATTCATTATATGAACAAGGAGGCATTCTTGAGTAACTGTGCCGACACAAATGAGTAACCAATGTTTTTTAAGAAAAGCCCTAGCTATGAGGAGGCTATTGCAAAAGTGAGACATGCCTTAAAGTGGATGGACCCCAGTTATCGTATTAAATTAATAGTAAGGTGTGATGTTGGAGTTGGAGCCAAACCTCGCTTGAAAAGTATGCATTGGAAGGTATACAAGGAAAAAGTTACCCAA